TGCCAGAAGTTTGATTCTCACCGGCTCAAGGTTGACTCAGCCTTCCATCCTTCCAAGGTGGGTGAAATGAGGACCCAGATTGTTGTTGGGGGCGATATGCTGACTCTATAAACTGCTTAGAGAGGGCTGAAAGCCCTATGAAGCGATATATAAGTCTAACTGCTATTGCTATTGCTATAACTTTCTGCAAGATTGTTTCTGTAGGTATTTATCCATCAGTGGAATAGAAACCCTGGCACAACAAATTCCATTTTGGTGGCCTTGTTGGCTTACAGAACACTTCTACTGGGTTTACCAGCAAAGCAAAGTAGCTGTGAATACAGATCCACAGACAGGCAGACAGGAGACAAAACCTATGAATGAAGCCAATTCTTGAGGAGAATACTATGGCTGTAACACTTTGAAGAAAGGCTTTCAATCATATCAATGATCTTGGCAAAGCTTCTTCTTTAACTGCTTTGCACAGCTCTAATAAACCACTAAACCTCAATTCTGCTTTGTGTGTTTGTGTGTGTGTCAGAATTTCTGGTCTAGATTTTTACCTTGCATCTAGATTTGGGTCCATAGGTATACGCGGCTATAATGGATGGATCAAAACTCAATTAGCAATTGTCGCGTCTGAGACTCTATTTCCTATGAGCAAGCAAGTGGTTAAGAGCCAGTTTGGGCTGTTGGTTAAGGGACCAGGTTAGAAACCAGAAGACCATGAATTCTAGTCCCGCCTTGGGCAAGAACACACCCAGCTGGGTGATTTTGGGACACTTATTTTCTTTCATCCTAGATCACCTCACACAATTGGTGTTGCAGGGGAAACAGGAGGAGGAAGGAGTATTAGGTACAATCGCTGCCTTGAGTTGTTTATAAAAACAATAAAGGTGGGAAATGAATGAATGGATATATGAAAATATATGTTTTCATAACTGACAAATCACCACAGATATTCACTACTCACATCAGTATTATTTATGTGTTAATAAGCATTAATGATGTCAGTCTTAACTTCATGAATCTCCCATATCCATGTTTCTTCAGTAAGGGTTCAATTTGTCAATTCAAAAACAGTATCAGGTTATTAAAAAATGATGGCTTATGACATAGAATTGGTAGAAATGTGGGTATTGTTTCGGTTCACAATTTAATGCTAGCATACCTAATTCACACTTATTGAATTATTTGCAAATCAGAGTGCAATTATCATCTATTTCTTTTAAATAAAGCTATTTTGGAAGAAAATAAAGGGGGGGGGAAAGAACTTGCTTTCATTTGTTGCTTTCAGATATGCCATTAAAAATCTAAGCATCTGTAAAAAGAACATCAATGAACCAAAGAGTTCATGTGGTTATGCACTCTACAATTATCCTTTGGTAAAGAATACTTTCAGCTCAAAGAAATACATAATTTGCATGTATGTTTCCCAAACAAACAACTAAGAAAAGGAAGACCCGTAAATATCAACCTATTACATTTTTTTTNTTTGTATGTTTGCATGTATGCATGTATGTATGTACGTGCTTGCCTACAAGACTCCAAAAAACTAAGAAGGACAGACCCTGTGATTCATCTACGCAAATGTCTATATTGTTCCTCACCCATAGGCAGAATCTTGCCAAAGTAAAGTATGCTATCTGAACTGAGTTGTCTCTTGCTTCTCTGAATGCATTGCCTCTCCCTCCTGGGAAACTGGCCTATTATACACCATCACAATAGGCATTTTTTGTCCCCAGTGGGGGGAAAAAAATAACTGGGTAAGCTCTGGATAACAACAAAGCAAAAAAATGTAGTTTTTGTGCGAAGAGAATGTGGGTGGAATGGAAAATTTACACAAAGACAATGCCCACGTATAGCACTAAACCAAAAGCTGTTGCTGCTTCTTTTGTAAGGATAAGAAATATAAGGTTTTGCTAAAATACTTTATACCTCATTACATTAACCATAGGGGGAAAAAATACTTCTATTTCTGGGTGACCATTACTGCAATGCCATGATATTTGAGGAGAACTGGACAAAGTAACGGGAATAAAAAGTACTTGCTGTCACTTTTACTATTTCTTAGCGAAGATGTTGAGATTTTCATATTAAACAAATCCATATACAACCAACCTAATTTTAGTCTTGTTATATATTATGCAATAGATTCAGGGTATATTTACTATAGTATGGTAACCATTCAAAGTTAAACATATTTTTTTAAAGTCAATTAAACTTATTCTTGATATTAAATGCTACTGGTAAGCATAAATTATCTAACTATTGGAGAATAAACTGTAGACAAGACATATGCATAATTAAAAAAAACATACAATTCTTTGTAGAAATCCTACCAGCTGTAAAAAGGAAGGCTTAACCCTTCAATATATTCCACAGTAACACCTGCTAATTCTTCACCATGGTGAACTTCATGCTGGCAGAAGTTGCAATCACAAAAAAAATCCCTGCATTACAGTGGGGTCTCTTCTCTCTCTTTCGTGTTCTTTTTTTTATCAAAATATGCAACTCATTCCATTATAACAATACTTTTGAAGTGCAATCTATGGAAAGGTTAAGATGACTCACAAATGGAATAATCTTTGATCCATCCATTAGAGGGCACCATCCTACCATTTGATCATATTTAGCTTTTTTTTTTTAAAAAAAAAAAAAATAAGGTTCCCCTTTCCCCCCCTTCCTTAATCTTTATACTTTTTCCCCAAAGAAGACTCGGTAGAGCATAATGTTTCATCTAGTAACAGAAATTTCGGCACATTTTTGTTTAAAGGGATAGAAAAATTGATGATGCTTTTTTTGTATAGCAGTGTTTCCCAAACTTGGCAACTTTAAGACTTGTGGACTTCAACTCTCAGAATTCTCCAGCCAGCTCTGCTGGCTGGAGAATTCTGGGAGTTAAAGTCCACAAGTCTTAAAGTTGCCAAGTTTGGGAACCACTGTTTTATAGTAAGCAGCAACTGTGATGAATACACACACATCACAAATATGCTTTATAGAACATATAACATATATATATATATATTATACCTTCTACAATGTAGTGAGATTGCTCACTATTGTGATGACTTACCATATGGACGGGGCTTCAGTGCCACTGATCTCTAAGAAATCATAGCCTTCTTCCAATTGGAAATCTGTGAAAACCAGAGCAATGGTGTCTCCTGGCTCTGCAAGAATGGTCCATGTGCAGTCTGCGTTATTGTCGTACTCTGAAGGGAAGTGAGGACTTGAAATAATCCCACTGGTCCCACGGAGGGTACCCCCACAAGCACCTTCAGCTGTATTTGTTGGGTTTTTTTAAGAAAAGAGGGGAGGGAAGAAAGAAGAACACAATAGTTTAGTTATTTATTTTGTTGTGATCAGAGGTATCTGCAGGTTTAAACTCATTCATTTAAAGGATAAAGCAACAAATACCAGTAGGTAGAACAACAAATAAAACAACAAATACCAGTAGGTAGATATAGGTAGATATATACAGGTAGATGATAGATACAGATAGTGAGAGAAAGATAATAGATACAGATGATAGATAGATGATAGATAGATAGATAGATAGATAGATAGATAGATAGATAGATAGATAGATAGATAGATAGATAGATGATAGAGATAGTGAGAGAGAATAGTTGTTAGATGATGATGATGATGATGATGATGATGATGATGATGATGATGATGATGATGATGATGATG